GGGGCGGGGCGGGGCGGGGGCGGCAGGCTCGGCAGCGCCGGGGCCGCGCGCAGTGCCGTGTAGAAGCGCGCGCAGAGCAGTTGGCCCGCCAGCCCGCGGACCGCCAGCGTCGGCCGCGAAGCTCCGCGAAGTGGTTGCGATCGCGCGCTCGTCTCGTCAGGCAGCTGTGTTAACCGCCGGCCACCCCGGGGCCGCTACCCCGAGGCCGCGCACCTGCACGCCGGCGTCGCCGACGGTGAGTGGGCGGCGGGGCACTTCTTGGGACGGAGGCGTGGGGGTCGGGGGTCGGCGCGCTCGCGGGCGGCCAGCGCGGGGCTGCGGCCGCCGGAGGGGGCGCTTTTTGGTGGTTTGGCTCGGCTCACCGAGTATGTCGGCCAGCTATGCGGAGTGTGCTGCTTTGGCGTTGAGGCCGGCCTGGCGGGCCTGGCGGCGCTGGGGCCGCGCGGCAGGCAAGTGGGCGGTTGTGGAGGAGCGTGGAGTGGAGGGTCGGCGGAGCGGGAGCAGCGAGGAGGGTGCTCCAGCCGCGGCTCCAGCCCCACGGGGTCGTGCCCGTCGCGCGGTCTGACTCGCTGAGGGTGTTGAGAGCGCCAGGCACCTTGCAAAGGTCATTTCGGCGGTTTTCGACATAATGTGGACCACATGGCTCCGGTTGCACGTTGGGCGTTGGGTCACTCGTACTGGGTGTTTCAGAGAAGACGCTGGCGTGGGCAGGTTGTGCCTTTTTTAAGGGGCCATATGACACCTTAGGGGCAGGGCGAGTAGGCAAACCCCCACCTTCACGTCATCTCTGATACACCCGTTACATCGCTGCTGGGACATCCAGGTCAAAGCGCGGGTTGCGCGACGAGCGCAGCTGCCACCTGCAACAGAGCTTGACACGCTTGACACCTGGCCGCACCTGGCAGCTGAGCTGGGCGCGCTGCTGACGGCACTCTGTGCCCTCAGGTCGTGTGGCCTTGTTGCGTTGTGCGCGGTTGCGCATTTCGCGCTTCACACGGGAGCGCATGTTAATTAAAGAGTCGACTCGTTGTTTTCTAAAAGTATTGTTTGACTTTCACCTGAAAATTTCAAGTAAGTAATCTCTCCCTAGCTGTAGAGTTCCTTTTTTTCTGGTCCAGCAAGAGCGCTTGGTTAATTAAATCATAGACTCGTTTCCCGAGGCGGAAAAGCAATCTTCCGATATATCGGTTGATGCCCACACCCACCACAGCCACCGTCCCTCGCTGCCCCCCCTGCCCCATCCCTTCACGCACACCCAAAAACATCTTCCAAATCCCGCAAAAGCAAAATAAATATCCCCATACGGGTGCGACGCATTGGCGAGACTCGCCTTTTCCATTATTCTGCTGCACTCTGTGCTTTTTTTTTTGCCAGTGATCTGACGCGGTGCTTTCCCGCTTAATGGATGACATGGATACTTTATTTGTTTTCCGTGAGATGGATGGTTGCCCGTTTGCCGCCCCTCTCTCCTTCGCGCCTCCCCTCGGGCCCCAGAGACGCACCCCCCCCAAACAACTCACTCTCACTTTCCCTGCTCCGCCCTGGGCTGTGGCCGGCCCTGACGGCTGTGCCCTTTGTGTGCCGGCCGCTTTCATCCCACTCCTCACTCCCACCTGCTGGGCCGCCACTGCTCTGGCCGCCGCTTGCATCCTCGCCCTCTCGCGGGACCCACCCGATACACTACTGGCTCACGTGGTTCTTTTAAACGCTGCATCGTCGCCGCAAAGCAGTGGCCAGCCGAGATCACCGCAGCCCCTTTCACCCTGCCTCCCAATCTCCCCATCCCCCTCCCCCTAC